CGAGACGATTGTTCGATTTTATAAGCACACTACATTTAGACACGTAGACGGATTTTTAAGAAATATAAACACCAACAGTGAACCTGAACTCTCATAACGCAGCAGAAACAAACTCTTGAATTTCAAACGTGTGATGAGGAGCAGAAGTTCACAAAGAAGAGACTTGAAAATATCTCATGTGGCAGCCACAATGCCGTGTTTAACTGGACAAGCATCGAGGTTAAACGTCTCAGCAGGAAACTTCCCCACAAGCAAGCGTCACAAGTTTGACACGTGAAAATGGCCACAAATTTTAAAGAAAAAGAAGCAGCTTGATGAATGGGACGGCGTTTTGCCTGTAAAGCTGGAACCTTCAAGAGCAAACAGACTGGAGATTCATAACATTACTCCTCTCAGAACATGGAGCTGGGTTCAAGAAGACCCACCAGCAACATTTACCAAAACCCATGAGTTAGTTTTATTTTTCATTTGAATATTTGAAATAATATTTTAAAAAATGTATTCAACATGAACAGAAGGTGACATTACCGATCAGGTGCCAAGAGTTCACTCTCATGTTCACTTATTTGTTTTGATTTGGTTCACAATACAGCAGTGAGGGTCAGTGCGTGGTAGAGAGCGGTGCAGCTGCGATTACTTAGAATTTCAGTTTCGAAACAACTTCACAGAGACGGAGTCTTCATTTCAATACTGCCAGGTCGGTTTGGTGAATCCTGCCGGGAAACGTTTGTTTGACAGGAGTTAAAGAAAGCGGTTCTGTAATGCGTGTCGCTCCTCTTCTCCTTACAGACATTTGTTTTCTGACATGAAAAAACAAAAAAACAAAAAAAAAAAACCCACAGAAAATCATTTATACAAATGAAAAAAACAAAAACACACAAGAAATAAATAAACCCTCTTCTTTTCCAGAACCAGGTAAGAACTATACCTCCAGATCAAGAAAAGCTTAAATATTTCACATATTTAACGCATCAACTGGACTGTTTTGAGGGTTTTTTAAGTGCAGTTATCGGGTTCGTTTGTTGTAGAACTAGACCCCCGTTAGACTTGCTGAGAGACCTCCTGTGATGTCCAGACCACATCTCCTCACTCTGCTGTGCTTACTCTCTATGTATGCCAAAGTTATTATTGGTGCAAGTGGACTTGTTTGCTTATCTGGCCCAAAGCACACATCCCTGGCCTGGTGCTTTCATGGTTCATTGCACCATCTTGTTAACTTTTACTGCAGAGTCCCAGGCAGAAAAAAATAAAAAATTCATAACAAAAAAAAAAAAAAGATAATGTACATTTTTGACCAGATAAAATAGACATGTTCACATTATTAACATTACTTTAGAGAACTTAATCATTAAAATAACAGTCACTACAGACATCTATAATATACTTTAATCATCTAGTGTTGCAGCTGCATATTGTCAATGAATCATTTTTTCTAAACATCTAAAACCAGAATCCCTGCAGGTCTGCAGTCACTGTGTCCGTACTGAACATGGAAAACACATTAACCTCATGGGTCAGCCGGCTCTGCAGCACATAGACCAGCATCACCCTCAGCAGTGACGGATGTGTAATAGAAAGATAATACACAAAACTACTACAATTGTCTCTGACCCTGGAGAGAGAGCGAGCTGAGAATAAATCGACCACAGATTGGAATCTGATCGTTTGACCTGATCAGTGGTCAACTTGACAATTGCTAAAAGAAAAAAATGCTTCAAAACTAATATTTCCCTCCCCATCAACCAACGGCATGTCATTCAGTTTGGTAAAAAGCAAATATAGCTTATGGACGTAGAGATAATCTTACAATTCTGTCATTTTCTGCATTTATTTTCCTTTTGACTCTCTGAAATCTTAGAAACATACATTGGATTGTGTCAAAATTGGAATCTGCATTTCAGACCTGAAAGAAAACCAGATCTCAGCATCGTCCAGGAAGACCTTGATCGCGGAGTCTTTAGTTGACATGAGCCGTTTATAAAGAAGAGATTGTGTAACATTCTTATTGGGTTTGTGGGCTGCAGCCTTAAAGCATTAAGCTTAGCACCTTTGCCTTAGCCACTGCACTTCTTGTGTGTGTGCTCATTGCTTGCTTTAAGAACGGATGCTGCAAAACCACGAGCTCTATCCACTTAAACGAAAGCATCGTGATTTTACACATTATGTATCTGGATGAATGTAAAACAAACAAACAAACAAAAAAAAACTAAAATGGTGGTAGATCAGATTAAAAACTCTGCTTCAGCTTTCACTCTCTAGGAGAAAAAAATCCATATCAAAACGGCCATTTGTGTATATCAATATTCTGCACATAACAGGGACTACAAGATGGCAGTGAAACGCAGCTACAGCAAAGCCAAATGGAAAAAACTGACAGATGTTTCTTCTCTTGAGCCAATAGAGAGATGAGACGACTACTGAAACCAAAACAGCCAGGCTACAGAAAACATACAGACGGCATTTACAGAATAAAGACAATAGAGAGGGAGTTAATTAGGAACTTCTTAATTATCTAAAATGTCAGGGACCTCAGTAATACTCAATTATTAGACAGGAATTAAGTATTTCGCTAAAGAAAAAGAAAGAAGTGGGGTTTTTTTGTTGTTGTTGTTGTTGTCTGGTGACCATCATCAGACAATTTTATGGCTGACTGGCTCTGGTCAGTGATCACCTGCTCAAAAGCCACAAATCTGATCACTCCGTGCTCAACGTGTCACATTGACGACACTCAAACTCATCGGTGCGGAAGCTGTTATTGTGAGAAGGCGACCGTCATCCATTTTCAGAATCAGTGTGCAAAAGTGAAGCAAGAGAAAAGAAAAATGTTTGGGCAGAGCAGCAACGTTAACCAAGCTAATGGTGCTAATTGCCCTAAATACTAATATAGGAGGTTAAGCACATCTTAAATGACCAAATCTGGCATGTTGATTTTAATAACTAACAAATAAAACGTAATCACCAGTGGGTTCTACACCGACTACTTTTTGAAATGAAAAGAATAAACTGTCGGACAATGCTACTCGTTTACTGCTGAATAATATCAAAAATAAAATCATCTTTTCTGTTGGATTTTATTTACCGACATCTCTGTTACCACAACGTGAGGAATTTTACTCTATTTGTAGATCCTCAGAAAACTAAAGACAAAGATCTGCTCGTTTTGGCCTGTTTTTAAGACGGTTTGATTTTCAGTTTACGCAGTCAGTAGAAACTATTTCATGTTAATGTCAGCAAATAAAAGTTTATCGTCTGATCAGAGATGTTCAAAGTCAGTGACCAGAAGTCGGTCAGAAAGTCTCTAAACTTTGAATGGGATTTCGGACGGTTATGAAGCGTTAGACACAAACGCAGAAAGGAAAAGTTTAAAGATTTCAGAATCAGTAGCTCAAAGATGTAAGACAATCTAAATTTCTTTCTTTTTTTATTTTTAAGAGTCATTATCTTTTACACAAGCACCAATGCCCTTTGTAAGCCGTTAATTATATGGTTTACTGAAAAAGAGCTTTGGATCGTATATTAGAGAACTGAGAGCCCTCATCTAATATCTAAAATGTTAGTAATTAGGAACCAAACACTCGCGGTACAACCTTGAGTAAGAATATCAGTTTTGCAGTAACACAGTATTCTTTCAAATAAATAAAATACAAAAACACTGCTTTCCTTTTCAGCCAGCTGACCAGCGGTTTGTAGCAACACAGCGGGGAGGGGCACCAAATGGCTTGTTCTCAATCCACTTAGTTCAGAACTTTTATTACACAGATTTTATCCGTAATAACGGTATTACAGAACATTTTAGAGGTTTTGAAAGTATGCCCTGATACTGTCAACAAGAACATACCCTATTAGTAACGATATAATTATCACGCCGCTAGGAATCAATATAGAATCATGATTATGAAGGATTTACACGACCGCTGCACAGAAGGACTGCACTTATTTGGATCCGTGTAGTCTCGGTTACGAGAAGCAGGGCAAAGGGGATTCTGTCAGGGATGTGTGACAGTGTGTCATTGGTTCTGTAGGGAAGCTGCACAGCTGCTCTGGGGGAAGGGCTCCCTTCAACCATGTACTGGATGGATGGATAAATAAATAGATAATGTCCAGCGATATCAAAATAAACAGATAAATCAGCCACTCACTTCCACTAGAGAACAAATTGCAAAATGCCCGTACAGTCATTTGACCACAAGATTGAGAAAAGATGAGCAGCACAGGAGGATAAGCCTGTAATTCTGATAATGGCAGGTTTACACAGATGAATTAGGTCCTGCACACGGCAATATAGCTACATACGTGTTCCAGTACTCCGAACAGTCTCTTTGTTCCTGTGACACCACAGCAGATGATGACTGTAGGCCTGTAGTCAGTACATGTCAACAGTAATCAGTGTGAGTCACAGTTGCACAGCAATAAAACTTGTCTGAAGCGGAAACCTGTGCAGGAACACACCCTGTCAGGGGCTTGTGTGACGTTCAACTGAACGAACATGTGGTCACAGGTGAAGAAGAATTAGACAAAAAAAAAAAAAACCCATGAGGAGCCAAGGGGACAAGAGAGTCCAGCTCTGGTAGTCAGACCTTCCCAGAAGCTATCCCAGTAGGTCAGACAGCCACACACAATGAGCTGTGGCCTTGACATTTATACACAAAGGAAGAGAATTGCTTTTGCCAAACATGTCTGAAGTCACGTTTGGGTTCACGACATTAAGGAAGAAAGGGGGTAAAAAAAAATGGAAGAAAGTCTGTCTTCTCCGACACAATGCAGCTTGTCATGCTCTGCTAGCTCGTAGTCCCTACATCCTGTATTAGCTCTAAACCAGCTAAGCCTGAACGCCTCCCGTGTGCTCCCATTCAATTTACCATAGAGAAAAGTAGAGCAGGTGAAGAAGAAGTGGTGTTTTAATTAAAGCCGGCAGACACGGAGAGGCAGGAGACACACGATGCTATCCGAAAAATTACTTAAAGCATCCTCCGTCTACCTCCAACCCTCTCTTCCTTTACCTTCAGACAGCTCCAGGTCCAACTCCGCCAACTGGTCTCGAACCTCCTTCGGCAGGGCGGACAGATCCACGCCGCGGTCCGCCATGACTTCGCCGAAAACCACGAGAACAGTCTATATGGGAAGAAATCTGGCCGTCGCGAAGAGATTTTGAAAAACAAAAATAAAACCCCTCCCTCAAGACACAAAACAAGCATCGGAGAGGGAGAGACGGCCCATCCGCACGGCTTGCCCTTCCGCCATAATGGGGGGGACTCACCAACGGCAACGTGTAGTCACGTTACCTCCGCCTGCCTCTGTTGTTGCTTCACCGCATCCGAGGCGACAGGGCACTGTTAGAGCTGCTCCCCCTAGCGGCGAACTGACACAAGCACACGCACGCCTCTCACTAGAACTGCATGACACCAGAATGAGGGTACATTTTTTCCAGAAGTTCAGCACATAAACTTTTCACAAAGGAAATATAAAATAGATATCTTAAAAATGTAATCCTATACTCCAATTAATGTTAAATTAATTGGAGTATAGTTGTCATGTTTAATAGAGGTTAAAAAAAGACAAATTTTTACTTTTTTTTTTCTTTGCCTCACTTACTTAAATACATGTGTGATACTTTAGCTTTTTTACATACTCAAGGATTCTTGCCACACTGGTATGTGGGCTGCCATGCCAATTCTGTTGTTATGATGTACTTCTTAAATGTGTCTTCTTGTTTTGTTTTTTGTTTGTTTGTTTTTTGCCTTTGCTGTTTTTTTTCCCCATTTACTGTTTGTGAAGCATTTATGACTGCTGTCTGAGAAAGGTACTATATAACTAAAGGAGGAAAATCCATGGTTTCCCAACACATGCACAGTTGGTTGTTAGACCAGTAAAGCATGCAGCTCTGTGTTAGACCAGTAACCTGTCCAATGTGTAATCTGCCCAATGGCTGCTGGAAGATTAGTGGTTATGGAAGTCTGTCGTTTGTATTTCCAAGATGTTTATGCGGATGAGGTAACACAACTTTAAGTTAAATCATTTCAAGATGGTTCAGTTCCTCACTTGTGTCACTTTATGTTGTTACCACTACGCTACTACGAACCTACACAGCAGATACAACAGGAGATACAGATCCGCATGTCCTCTGACTATGCCTCTAATTTCCACTTAATGGCATAACAAAAAAGGTTCAGTTGAATCTATAAGGAATCTGTAAACTATCCAAACCTTAGTGCAGCTATGATTGTTGTGCTCTCAGCAAGTCTGAAACATGAAAAACAGGAAATCTTTTCAAACTTCATGAAAGTCCTTCAACAGAAATTCAGATGCACCATTACTTTTCTCCACATAAACAGCAGGGTCTTCAATATTTGGGAGAAATCACAATGGAGAAAAGAGGAAAATGTGAAAGAAAAAAAGTCCCACAAATTTCCTTATGATGTAGTTTCTTTAATTAAAACTGCAGCACTTTAAAGTGTTCATGGTATTCCACTTGGACATGCATGGAAAAGTATATATATTTATATAGTACAGATATGTACAATAAACATTTCTGAAATCATCCATCTGACAATGGGAGTGTGAAAAATAAAAACAGAAATATATGATGTGAAACTGTTACCATAGTTGCATTTTATTTTCCATTTACCTGTCATTTTCATAACTCAAATATTAAAAAGGCCAAAGAGTGAAAAAGCAAAATGTAAATTGACCAATTTTTAAAAACAAAAAAATAAGTTAGACAAAGACAGCCCAGGGTGGTGACTTTTCTTTTTGAAAAAGGTTTTAAGTTTCTTCTATAGAGAATAAAAACAAGCTGTTAAATGAAATTAGTCTATATTCATCAGTACAATCAAAAGTAGTACGAGAAATGGTTGCGCAGTGTTTACAACACCACACAACAATAAAAGAACAGTAAATGACAGAAAAGGTGCCCATCAAACAAATGAAACAAAAATATGAGAGCTATATTAGTTAAAATTTTTATTTCGTATAAACAATCTATATGGGACTGCTGGCTAAATATAGCGCCAACAGGTAAAACAAAAAAAAAAAATGCCAAGGTCGCCATTGGGACTGTAGGATGAGAGGTTCAGTCTGAGCATGACGTTTTGAAGTTGGTGAGAAAATTCCCCATTCACATCTACAGTACGACTTTTACAAAATTGTCATGAACAAACTTCTGTTCTGAAAAACAAAAGAGCTGCACAAACGTGACCCAATGAAGAGAAATACTAAGCCACAATACACTCTTATTTTAGTGCATATTAAAGTATCATAATGACAGAGAGATATCTTGCTTTTCAAATATAGTATCTTGCAAATATATGGCCATAGTAGGCAAAAAGGAGAACAGAAGTGCATGAGGACAACAGGAAAAGCGTGTCATTTCTGTGTTTATGGGGGGGCGGGGGAATTATTGGTACTTAGTTGAGTATCTTGGATAGATTTTTAGTCAAACCTTTTAGATGTTTCTGTTCTTAAAGCTTTTACTAGAAAATATATTTTCTCCGTTTCTCCACCAGATGACAGACAAGTACAAGTAAAGTATTTCCCCCAATTCTTCATTTTCAAAACAGTAAGTTGCTGACACAGTATAAGAAAACTGTTGAGTTTAGTTTTAGTAAGTTATTTGCAGATTTGCAGGTGATGCGAAATAATTTCTCCAAGTAAAAATTGTTTAGTAATACCAGGGTGTGTTTTTCTTAGACATTTAAGAAGAAATATTAGAGGCACTAATGTGATCTTAAGGCAAAAAAAAAAAAAAATTTAAAATCTTTAGGGGTGTGTGTGTGTGTGTGCAAGAAACAAGTAGTGATAGACTAGATTCTGTCACTCTGACACAAAATAACAGTCGGACTACTTCCTGTCTCAGAACAAGTACCAGGTGGTCTTTGGAGACTCAGATTATGGCTTAGTTTAGGTTTGGTAAAGAGCACAGCGACTTTAAAAAAGGGTTCATCATACTTCCATCAAGCAGCAAGGATGATCCGCCATCCTGAAAAGTGTGAAAATAACACAAAGTCCTTGACCCACACAGAAATGCGATCAGAGTAATTTTATATAAAATTAAAAAGAAAAGAAAAAAAAAAAAAAAAAAAAAAAAAGGAAAGCAACTTCCAACCTAGCTGAACGGTCGGCCTGATTTTTAAGGAAACATGGCGGACAGCAGAAGATAAATTCCCTTCAGGTTAAAATGAAAATTTTAGGGGGGGGAAAAAAAAAAAAAAAAAAAAACTTGTTTGAAGTTAAAATCTAATCCTTTTTGGTTTTAGAGACTGATATTGGATGATATGCCAAATCAGATAGCTGCACATACTTTACACCCACTCGGGAAAAGTCACATGCAAACATCACAGCTAACAATGTGTCAAATCTGAAGCAACTACTCACGTTCTGCTGTACACAAGTATACAATCACACACAGTTAAAATATGTCTTAAACATAAAGAGGAGGTAAATGAGGAAAGGTGTTTGGGTCCGTGATCAGATCACATTGATGCAGAACCGTTAGCAGGAAGCTGAAGCTGATCGTCAGAAGTGGGGAAAGTTGTTGCGTCTTTTGAGCTGAAGATGAATGCGATATGCAGCGACGGGCGTGTGGGTTGCGAGCATGATGATTAATGTCCAGGGGCACGAGGCACTATTCCCAGCTGAAAACAGCATAAAGTCCTGTGTGCTGGATCTGATTTGATCAACAACGTTTATGCAACTCCTGTGGGTTTGAAACTGTGCACATATAGGAAGTTCATAATCACGGCAGATTACGCCACGCACTTTCTCGCAGCCTGGTGAGAAGGTCATCTTATTCACCGAGGATGAGGGGAGATGAGCAGGAGGGCAAAGAGGAAGGGATATCGGAGTCCAGCCCCTGTAGTTTATGGCAAAGTTAACAGGAAGCTCTCCCAAAAGTCTCAGTCCGTTCCCAGAAGGCTGCGGCTGCTGCTGCTGCTGCTGCTGAGCTCCAGGCCACAGCTTGATGGCTCCACAGGAGGATCAAAAGAGGAGATGTGGAAAGAGGGTAGCGGGAGATGTGAAATTTGGACCTAAAGGCTGTGGATGGTGGGAATCTTTTCTATCCCTGGGTGGCGAGCCAAGCCTGGGCCAGTGGTGGCGCTGCTCATCATCTGCCAGCAGACTGGGACTGTGCAGCCATGATAATGTGCGAGGGCCCACCCTCGACCCTCTGGTGCTGCTGACCCATTCCTGCTAGCACCGACATGGCCATGGCCTCGGCCGCGGCTCTCGTGCTCAGGCCGTTCTGAATCGCAGAGGGGCTGGGAGCCAAAGAGCTGTGCTGAATCACTGGAGCCGGGGACCCTGTAGGCTCAGAGGTTTCCTTTAGGCTCTCTTCTGCAGCTGCAAGGGAGAAAAAAAAAGCAACACAGGACAAACGAGGCTTGAAAACTGTATGCACTAATTTATGACAAAATAATATGGATATTTGTTATTTGCAACGAAGCAAATATATGTCTGAGATTCTGTCAGAAATTCACCAGAAGTTGTGCGCGCATTGAGGTTTTCCCTGTGAGTTATTAAAAATGTTTCATATTAATCATTTGATATTTTTCACTTTGTTATTAACAAAATTGTGGGGAAAAGAATTAAACATTGTCCTTTGTGTCTTTAGCTATGCACATCTGTGTGGGTGGGACATGTCCATGCTAAACAAAGATTTCATTGGTTACCTTACTTTTGTTTATTTGGTGGCTGCTGCTTTTCCATAAGCTAAATGCGACTGTGCAGTGAAGATGACTAAAAACGAGTCTTTTAAACAGCTAAGTCAGGTCGAAATGTTTGCCAAAAAGAGTAAAAATGAACCAAATGGCACAGACGCAGAGCCTGAATATGGAAAGTCAAATTGGGTAGGTTTTGTTTTCCTTTTTTATAATTAACAAATACAATATATATGCACCTGTGTTGAGTCGTGTGCGTTGGGGTTTGTCAGGTGCATCGTTTTCGTGTGAATCGCTTTCGCGTGTCATATTTGTGTGGGTCAGAAACTGACTGCCAGGGGCGTGTTGAGGAGTTGTTGTTTATGTCCGGCAAGTCCTTTGTGCACATGCAGCTTGTATTTGTGTTATTGCGCATTGGGGATGTGGCTGTGTGGGTCAGGTGCAGTGATGCTCTCTGATAATATCCTGCAAACATTCAAGGCCTCAAACACGCGCGTCCTCTGTTTCTCTTTTGTTGCCGCTCTCAATGACACTTCAGTCTGTGCTGTCCTCTTCGTATCACAGCACTCCAGCCTTTCGAAACCCATGGGTGAAAAGTCAAATATTGGCCGCGTCAGTTTTTAACGCGTGTGAATAAAGTATCCGTTTATAGGCTGCTTAGTATTTAAACTTATTAATGCCACACATCTTCTGGACTGTACCTAAGTATGCAGTTTTCTTTTGTAGGGTGGTGACAGGGCAGTCCTTGTGGGCGAGCAGCAGCTGCTTCAAATGTGCCACTTCGTTTCGCAGCAGAGAAACCTCGTTCTGAAATGAAACGGAACAAAAAACATCAAACGTCATGCTTCATTTGTGGGTTATGTTGCATAAGAAAAAAATAAAAAATAAAATGGCACCACTGGAATCCATTATTTGAAACAGCTGAGCATTCATGTATGTATTTTTTTGTTTAAAGGGGTTTTAAACAGATGTACCTGCTCCAAGATTTAAGTCTTGCAGCACTTAAACTTCTGAAAAAGTACAAGCCTTCAGTCCTCTTCCACCCACTCCGAGCCCACTCACCGACAGCGAGACGTTGAGAGAGCTGAGCTCCTCGGCCTTCTTCTCCAGAGAACTGACCCACAGTTTGCGCTTCTGTCTGCAGCGTGATGCCGCCGCCCTATTCCTCTCCAGGAAGCGTTGCCGTCGCTCATCTGGGTCATCGTCTGCCGTCCGCCGTCGACGCCCACCTGTAGGCTGTGCTGGGGATACCTGAGGGAGAAAGATGGCAAGAGGTCAAAAGGAAACAGACAGACAGGCGAGGGGAGCGGAAGAAAGACAAGAAAGAAAAGGGAAGTTTGACTCACAGTTTCAGTATTTAAAACTAAAACACATTCCAGTCATCTCAGTGCTTGGTTGCAAGTTTTGATGACTTCAAAAGATTATTCAGCCTTCACAATCGATCAAGATCAATTTTTATCTCCGTTTTCTTTCAGTTTCAAGTCTATGGAGAACAGCAGCAGGAGCCGACATAAACACCTGAGGTTGTGCAGGCGAAGGCGCGTCCGGATGCTGGACAAGCAGCTGGCTCTGCTCTGCCTTCTGAGGAACCATGGGGCTGCTGCCCATCACCATGGATCCCAAGTTCTGACCCGAAGGGCTCTGCTGCGACAGCGCTGCTTTCAAGCGCTACAGGGGAGAAACAGTTAAAAGGGAGATATCACTGGCAAACACAGGAAGTTGCACTCTCATACCAAGCTGACACTATGAGCAAAGTGGCACTACTGTTGTGAACATGATCAAAACACAGAGGGTATAAAAATGCATGCTTTGAGGTAATAAAATTACTGCAGCAAGTCCATGTTAACTCCAAAACTTCCAGCCACACCAATTTATTTTAAATGGCATTCACCTACAAGATAAAATCTTTACTTACAATCAAGTTGAAATCTACCCTAAAGCAACAGACATAATGCCCCTGATCAGAGTTCTCTGAGCACATCATCGACTTTCTGAGCTGAAAATGATAACAAGGCATAGCAGAACACGGGATGTATTTATTTTATCACAGCCGAACATCAGTGGAAACAAATCAAATGGAAAAAAATCTAAGTAGAAATATACCATTGTGTTACCATTTAACTCAGTGTTGCCATTTATTGTAGTTTGAGTAACAGAGTCAAACTCCAGCTCAGAGTTGTGAGGTTGAACCTCTGTTACTCTAATGAAACCTGAATAATTCAGAGCTTAAGTTAAAATCTGTCAAAAGTCACTTGTTTGCAAAAAGGCTCACCAATCAGCCTGATACTTGTGTGTCCTGTGATGTCATTTACTGACATCCCCACAAAGCAGAAGTAAGACCGAAGGGTGTAATTTTTTTTTTTTTTTTTAATTATTTTGTGAGATCCAGCAGTGGATAAGCCACTATTCAGCTAGCTTTCCATCATCAGCAAAGAAAAAAAATAGGATCCCTGGAAAGTCATTTTAAGGCTTTTTTCAAAAAAATAACTCAACATAATAACTCACATCCAGCTCCCGTTTTAGACAGTTTGAAGCAAGTTGTTGTTCCCACTGATGTAAAAGGTGAGCTGTGTGATGCAAGTTTATTTATAGGGGGAATAGCAACAATTCTCTGAGGAGTGGATATAAAAAGGTTTGTTTTCTGCATCACACTCATGTGACATGGTGATCTATCTAATCGGGGCTTGGTTCTTGAGGCATTGCATGTCCCTGGGAAAAGTTTCAGATGATGATACTCGATTATTATGATGTTGCACTGTGATCCCCTATTGTCCTGTTGGCAACGGAGCCTGGTCAATAAGGTATAAAAACCTATCAGTCACAACATGCACATTAATCCAACAACAATAACTTTCTGGGCACGAATAAAACAGCCAAAGCTTTTATGGAAACTATTGCTCTTCAAATTAGTTTAAATGCCAAAATAAAGCAGCAGCCTTCACTTTTTCAGCAACTACTGTGGCAATGCATGAAAGGGTTAAATAAGTTACTGCAGTAAAAAGTCATATGATGTACAAAGTAAGGCAAAGCAGACCAAGTCTGGAGGGTAAGGATGCAGACAAGAAAAAGAGATAAAGAGACAGAAATAGAGAGCTAATTTAGTGCTGACCATCTTGGCCTCTGAGTGGATGCTGCTGTAGCCAGAGGGGGAGTTGGAGCCGCTGCTGCTGCCTCCCAGAGGAGGACCAGGGATTCCAGGAATGTTGGGTACCATACACATGGGTCGAGCCAGCTGGAGTCAGACATGATGCATAAATGCACATAAATTAAGACATAACAGACTTATTCCCTCCAACGATGACATTGTACATACTGCTGGTCTGTCTTACATTAATGACAGAGGGTATCTGGACAGGACCGGGGAGCACAGGCACAGCCTGACCAGTGGGAAGCATCATCATTGGGTAATGGCTAGTTGGTGAACTATTAAGAAACAACAAGAGGGGAAAAAAGGAGAAGTTTGCATGAATTGCTTTTAATGTGCAGTCATCCTTTTAAGCAGAAGTATTAACCCTTGTATCATATTGAGGGAACTCTTAAAGGTCAAACATAACTAGACAAAACATAAAAGACAAAAAAACCCGTCATTCCTTAAACAAGCTGGCACTCTGGGTTTTTCAGTACATTTGTGAAGTACTCTGAAAACAGCACACACATGAGCAAATTGCAATAGACTTACAATAAGAAAGCACCAATGGACAATTCAGAAGTGGTTTTCTAAAATGTTTCCTGTCATCAGTGTTCAACACAGTTTATCTGTGTTTATCTCTGGTTATCCACAACTAACCAGAGGTTAAAAATAATTAACAAAAACAGTCAGATATGCAGATTAGACTGAAACTGAAATTAAAATCTGTAGATAACATTTAGAGGAGATAACTTTAAAAAAGCTCTTTTTAATGAATTTTATAAACTTAACTAAAAAGTGACCGACTCCCTATGGTTATTGCTGGGTGTAGTCTGGATCAAGGCTGATCCAGACTACTTTCTTGTTTAGTAAAATATTACATCTTTAGTTCATTGTTAAGCATGTAGAAACATTTTCTACGATATATTTTTGTTATTTTTATTTTTTTTTTAATTATATGTTTGTTTATCTGGGTACCTGCTTCATTAGGAAACACTGAGTCTTTTCAATATTTTGTGGTTAAGGTAGCGATTTACATTTTCTAGGAAATACACAAAAATACTGCAGCTTTAGTAGTAATAAGAAGCTAAAAACAACTCTTTAACTCAGGGATTCGACACATTTTATATTGAAAAATTCCCAGACTTTTCCACATTAAGTGTCCCAAAGTTCTCAGTTCCTACGCAGTATTTTATAGAACATATAGAACTACCCAATTTAAAAAAAAAAAACTAATAACGACTAACAAAGGAGGGCACAAGGCAGGAAGAAATAATACAAGAAAAGAAGGGAGGCTGGACACAATAAAAGGAAGGATAGGAAGCAGGTTGGAAGGAAGGCAACAACATTTAGACAAAGGAGGGAATAAAGTCTGGAAATATAAATGCATTTCCAGATTTTTTTCCCATGCTTATCAGAATAAATATAAATCAAAAATGCCTAAATTCATTTCCAGACTTATCTAGAGTATGCAGGAAAACCCTGTTAATCATTTTGTCTTTATTTTAAAATTGTAAAACCCTGATATGACTGACTCTGGCTCAGTCAGCAGAGTAGTCAGGAGCTCCGTCCCTCAGAAAGCTGAGGGACGGAGCCCAGCCACACATCCATGTGCCCCTGAGCAAGGCACTCAATAACAAATTGCTGACCAATCAGCATATCAGTGGATGAATGCAGCTCTGATAAAAAGCACTTTGAGTGGTCAGTATGACTATACGAGTTCAGTCCATTTATCATTTTTACGCTCTTTTAAACAAGCTGTGATGTTTCTGACCCCAAAATAATAATCATCACTTGTGTCTCACAGCTGGAAGGCTGAGAAAAATATACCGGATGCTCTTCTTCTGTTATTTTATACAATGCTTGGACAAAAAAACGTTGCCACCAAAAAAAAAAAAAAAAAACATCACACACCAATATTACTTTATATGGCCTTCAGCTTTGATTATGCTATTTTCTGTGGCATTGTTTTAAACAAGCTTCTGCAAACTCACAAGATTTATTTCCATCCAGTGTTGCATAAATTTTTCACCAGTCGTGTATTGACAACGGGAGTCGAGTTTATCAGGCCTAAAAGTAAAAAAAAAAAAAACGAACCCGGCTCAAGGCCATAAACATTGTGTCCGAAGGCGATCCAATGGACTAATCAACTCTAGTTAGAGGCCAGAAGAAAACCCGCCAGGAGAGAAAAACATCACATTTGTTGTCAACTACCAGTTTAAAGCCCTTCCAGTTCTCTGACTTTGCACTCAGCTGGTGGAGAAGAGCCGAGTGCTCTTCTCCACCAGCTTCCATCTCCAATTTGATGCTAATTGTAACTGCAGACTCGACCCTTCTTAACAGACGAGCATCTATTTCCACTAACATGAGCTACGTTTTTCAACATGCTTAAGAAATGAGCAGTTACTCATTGCATCAATTTGGGTTATACAGCTTGATGCCAGCTAAAAGATAACTGGATATCCAGTAGAAGGCTCATACTCATTTGCTTAGTGAAATCCTGGTAGCAGTGCAATGCAACAACCGCCAGCTAAAATCAGCATTAGCAAGTCCAAGTTGGATATCATCAAATTATCATTGGTATATTTTTAGTGAACTGCAGACGGCTGAAAATTACTCACCCCAAGGTGCGATTTGAAGGCGGAGCCTGTGTGATGACGGAGGTGGGTGACGGCATGGTGGGGTGAAGGGCATCGAAGCCCAAGTGTAGTGGAAGAGAACCTGGGCGGACAATAGTTGGAGTTGGAGCTGAACTCCTTGGTGGTGTGTCCTAAGAGAGAAACGATTCAATATATTTAGAACAGGATTTTACAGAAAATGGAATTAATACATTTAGAACTGAATGTTGTAGAGCCAAAGCGGCAGTGATAAATTAGTTTGTTGTTTTTTTTTATTTTTTATCCTTCACACCTTTCCTCTAACCACTGGCTCCTGGTTGCTGTCCGACTTCCCAGATATCGATTCAGGGCTGCCTGGAGGTGAGGAGTCGACTTCCACAGGTGACTCCCGCTTCACCTTCACATCTGACGGCGTCTGCAGGCTCATGTCTAAAGCCACAGAGTTGGCTGCAGGAAGCTATAATGTGACAAAGAAAAAAAACAACAAAAAAAAAAAACAGAATAATAAAGCATTAAAAAGGGAAGTTGGCATTTATTATACAAATCTGCTCGTCACAGTGAGCTTCATGAAAATCCATATTCAGTGCAATGAACAACCAATGCATCGACTGAGAACTATACTTGCAAACTTCTGCAATAACTGAAATTCTAATGATGCAGAAAAAAAAAAACTGTGCAACACAGGAATTTCAAACTGTAGTTTTTGATTAAATCAGCAACTGAGTTCGAAAGAGGGAAGTAAAGATGAGGGGGGTTTTTTTTAGTACACTGGAGTATGTAGGAAATTTCCCCAGTCTGAACTGGGGATGCATGCAGAGATGAACATTAGCGCAACAGAAAAAAAGCCGTCATGGCCGTCCTCCCAATGTCGATTTCTTACAGAGTTCTTCGCCTTCTTGTCTTCGTCATCTTGTTCGAAGGAGCTGGCGAGTTCGTTAAACAGACCGACTTCTTCGCAGTTCTTAAGAAAACGAGTGGGGGTAGGCGTTTGATCTGGGAAAGAGCAACGACAACGAAGGAAATGACTTAAAACAATATCACACTTGGTTAACTCCTAGCAGCTACGATAAAGACATTTTTGAGTTTTGTTTTCTTTTTTTTTTTTTCAATAATTTTGCAAAGGTCTTGCATCACTACTCATTTCTTTATTTTATTTTTTTAAAGTGCATAATTTCCAGTTCAGTATTTCAACATCATGCAGAACTTTTTTTTAAACCTGCTTTATTTTAATCTGTGGCTCAGACGCAAAAACCCTCATGAAACAACCGTTTTTTTTTTGTTTGTTTGTTTTTTTTAAGATAAAACACCTTAAACTGCATCACTACATGACTTGATCAGATCTTATTTTTTTTTATTTTAATTTAACTGGTAAATGGACTGAATATATAAAGAACTATTCTAGTCGTATTAATGAGAACACGTGGCAGAGGACAAAATAGGAATCAAACCCACAACTTCTGGATTGCAACACCACTACTCTACCCACGGAGCCAAAAAACTCTTCAGCTGACAAACATTTTATCTGTGAATCATTGGCAGGATTACACAATATAGAGGACAGTCAACATGCTCCCTTGTGTTCCTCTCAGTCCCTTATTGTGTCCATGTATAAAAATAAAAAATAACATTAAACTACTAGGTAACACTTTATTTGAAGTGGGTTGAATAAGACTGTCATGACACTGTCATAAACATGACATAACACCTGTCATAAACATGAATAAGCCTTCAAGAATATTTATGACTGTTGTCATAAAGTGTCATTCGGTAAATTATGACACTTTTAATACAAAGTTGACATTATTCAAAATGTCTTTGTTATGACAACTTGACATTAACCAGGAAATCAGTACTGTTTAAACTTTACCTTTAATAACATAAAGTTACCTAGTTTTTAAAGTGCAATCAGTAATACTTTTATAACAAATTTATATCAGTAATGATTTCTTGGTTCATGTCAAGTTGTCATAACAAAGACATTTTGAATAATGTCAACTTTGTATTAAAAGTGTCATAATTTACCTAATGACGCTTTATGACAACAGTCATAAATATTCATGAAGGCTTATTGATGTTCATGACAGGTGTTATGTCATGTTTATGACAGTGTCATGACAGTCTTATTCAACCCCCTTCAAATAAAGTGTTACCAACTAATATTATAAATAAACTCCATCACGTTGAAAATAAGCAACAATAACTAGCTACAGTAAGAAAAACATATTCTATTTTAATTAAAAGCAATTGCAAAAGTTAAAAACTAACGTAGACATTAAAGTGTGTAATATTTTTACTGAAAGCTATACCATCAGAATCTCATTCTGACCCTTTCTTACATACACTGCACAGGTAGGCAACATTCTCGCCAAACTGATTAATATTTTTGAGTAACTTTATTGGTTCAAAGTCAGCTTTAAGTGCAGATTGTGAAGAAATAGGAACAAACTATCTTTACTAGTGCCTTCTTTTATTAAAAAAAAATTGACAAAAACAACATTTATAGCTGATTCTTTGACAAGTGAACTGAAGACTAGGGCTGCATGACACCAGGAAAGCATGTACAATATGACGAGCAATAAATAAGAAAATCCTTTAGTACGCAGCATTAATGTCATTCTGATTTGGGTTTCATAAAATTGTAGGCCCAGACAGTGAAAAGCATGGCATTTCTGTGGGTTAACTAATATATATATATATTGCAAGCTAAATAGATTTGCAATAATAATAATAATAATGTACACACTGACATTACGATGAAGATAAATCTGTGACATGTTGTGCATGCCTGTCACAATAATGAATTCCTTGAGTTTAGGAGCCTTTTCATGTTAAATTTATATACAGGCTAGTGGAGAGATTTGATCTAGTCTTAAAACTGAAATCAGGATATGTTGTACTTATAATGAAGATGCTAAAACTGAATAAAAAAAAAACAATTCTCTCCAGCCTTTTGGCTATTCATCTATTCTTCAATACAGTCTAAAAACTCACAAAAAATATTGCTATAAAAATAAACTTGTTCCCTATTATAATAACATTAAATCACATTTTGAAAGGTAATCACAGCACTGATTGGTCATGGCAGCATTGGGAGGGGGAAATAGCTCAATCAGTAAAAGCAACAATCCCAATCAAACCATCAGTTTTTGTCTTGGTAAAAATCTTATTAGAGCTTATTGCCATTACTGCAGTATGACTATTTCTTATGACATTTTACAGGACAACATCAAATGACACAATGCTTGTTCATCTGTAATGGCTAGTTGCAAATAATAATCTAAAAAAATGGTCAGAAGCCACATTAAGAATAAAAAAAAGACCTTCAGAAGCCATAAAGTCCACTGTAAATGATAAAAAAAAGAAAGTTCTGGGTGCTGGGAAGCAGAATATAAAAACTAAGGGAAGAGTAATGGCTTTATAAAAATACTGCATGCTATACAAAAAAAATGTACCTGCAATTATAACAGAGTCGGTCCTGGCTGGTCCAAACTTCAGTGTCATCTCATGCTTGTGTTTGTGCACAGCTAAGTGGTCCTCATTGGTAAACCTCTGCAGCAAGGGAACAAGAAGAAGGGGAAGAAACACGAGAATATTACGTGAATAAGCCAGCAGATAATTGTAACTGTTACCTAAGGAGGCAGGCCGTATTACTGTAATCCAGAAATCAAATTGCAATAATCACACACAGATGTAGCACATCATATGCAGGCAATTGAGCAAAAATTATGAGGGAAAACCCACAAAGAACACCAAATCTTTGGTATAAAGTTTCTTGCAAGTACAGGCCAATAATAGCTTGAAGACATGGGCTCACATAACCTTACATAGATGAAACTACCGGACAAAGATAAAAGATCAGCGTGGATTAGAGCTGAAATTGTTTCAAATGAATTTAATGGCGTAAAAATGCAGGGAGTGAACATTTAAGTTAACTCGTTGATGTCACCAACGTTCACGTGTAAGGCTTAGGGATAATGTAAACTATGACTGGCCCTTCAATATTGGATTACCTCCTATCAGGTATCACATTAGCAGCTACGGGAGCTCCACTGCAGGACACAAATCAGACATATAGACGAAGGGACGGCCGGCGTCCTGTGAGACACGGAGCGTCTTCTGTTGAGATGTGGCAATGTGATTCACTCTGAGACGTAGGAGGAATAATCTTGGCTCTCGCACCAGCCTATTCACTGCAGCCTATTTTAGGGCACTGCGTTACAGTTGCGACTTCAGTCAAGAGAGCGCAGTGGAAACACAGTTGAGTGTCAGGAGCCTTATTTTTAGCCCGACTAAAAAGCATCACCAATACATGTCTCATCCGTCTCTGTCCTCTGAACGAGAACTACATTTTGTGGGAGAAACTATCTCCAGGTAATCTCCGTGCCAAAGATAATGGAGGCTAGGATTACCTTCCTGAGGCAATAAATACTGGGCACCAATTCAGGGTGTTTGTTGTTGTTGTTGTTGTTGTTGTGGTTAACTTGGTGAGAGGAAAACCTTGGCCAAAGCCAAAAGTCAATCACCCTTGTTCTATTACGGGCAGGATTCAGATTTTCCTGGTAGACAACTGTTGCATGTAAAGGGCAGCAGTAAAACAGCATTTGGACATTAAGATCACGTACCGTTAAGGGTGTTATATGTCCAATGCACATAAAAACCACGACAGCAATTGGCCTAAAAGCTCATAAAATGTAAAATTTAGTTTTTAAAAACAAACAGCTTGCCGCAGGGCCTCTGGCTTGTGGAGACCTCATTCTCACAAAACGAGGGGATGTTGAAATATGTCCTGTTCATGCTGAACGTGAACTCAGCTTTTGATTCCACTCATTATCACATCACGTCCAATAACGGGTGGGTGTTCTGGGCTCTGCCTTGAAATAGTTTTCTTCATCTCTGAGCAATTCTTGTCATTTGGCTGCCTGCCTCTACTTCTATTTCTTGTTGCGCCACAAGGCGCCATTTACTGATCACATTTGGGTAACATCGCTGCTGGACCTTCAGATGATATTCAATTATCCATTTCTTGTAAACACAGAGATGCCTCCAAGTTGCATAATGTTACACCTGTTGTACATCTGACAGATTGTTGGCGGTGAAGCCTCTTGGTCCATTAGGCTTATTTGTTAAAGTTTCTGGATGTTTCTGTCAAGTATCTGGTTACGATATGTTTTTAGCCTCTAAAAATGTATCGTCTCTTACTCTAAATTGATAATTATGCAAGCTATTTTCCCTTCATGACTACTCCAGTTTATTATTAAATGTTGTAACAAGAGATACTTGGACAATCTGCAAGTTGATCCAAATGCTTCTGGAAGGCTTTTGTTCTTGTAGGGGCTCACATACATCACAACTGTTAAGTCACTTGCTCTGGATTCCCAGTCACTACTTCTTGCAATTAAAGGTCTCAATTCTGACTTTTAGAGATGTTCAGGGACAAGCACAATAATTCATAATGAGTCCATTTATTTCTAGTGTCCGATTTCTTTTTTCAGCCAGACACTGTATTGCTTTAATAATTAATTCAATAGGGGATGTCCACATCCATCACAAATGTTGGATCTTGTCCCCAACGATAACGTTTTAAAAAGATCAGTGTCACCGATTCGACAAACTTTTAACACCTGCTACTGGCGTACAGTCAATGTTTCACCGCAAGTTTGATTGAAAATTTCTAGATTTTTTTTTTTAGCATAAATATTATTGTTATATTTTCAAAGGGATACTTGAAATGTGGAGTCAGGTTTCGAACGTGTTCATCCTCCAAAAACCATTAAAATAAAGCAAATGATGTTCAAAGATGGAAAAAAAACAAACAAACAGGAAAAACACATCTTTAAGAATAAGAAAAAATATTTTACATTTTCCTCAAATCACAACCCTAATTATAGGGTTGAAGACTTATCTAATGAAGCCTGTTAGTTTTATCTTAAGAAAAGAGCCGTCTATTCCCTGCACAACCTCAGTGAGCTTGATCTTAGAGACAGACTCATGGTTGGACAAATCCTCCTTTGGGATTTTCTGGTACAGAGCAAATTTCACAGTCCCATCAATAATGACAAATTGTCCAGAAGCAAAGCAGACAAAAACTACACAATGCCCCCCATGTTTCACTGTTGTTGTCAATGTTTTTACATTAATATCTTGTTAGTTCTATGTCTAATGTAACCAGACAAAGCAACAAAAATATCTGTGTGTCATTTTGCCCTCTTTCTAATAGCTGAGTATTAAATGCTAAGCATCACATGAGCGGTTGTGGAAGTCTGAAACATTGGGAATATGGCATGTAGGACCAGAAAAGAGCTTTTTGATCAACTGTAGTCAAAACTACAAAAACTGTCTATGAGGAAGACTAAAAGAGAAAACCGAATGATGCCACAAGTCCTGATGCTAGTTGTGCTACAGAGCCAAGACTACAAAGCAGAGTAGCACCACAACCCCAGCGCAGCATCTCCAAGACTAACTGCTGTTTGAGAGAGACTAAACAGCGTAATGACGCTCTTGTATCTGAAACACTGAAGGATGGCATGAACTAACCCTATATGTTTAAGTGTTAGAAGCATATTCCACCTGTCTTAGTTCCCTGATAAGGATATGTTTCCTCCTGCAACTACATATCAGCTGCGTCCATCTACAGGAAGAGAAACGTCCAGCGGCAAGTAGGTATGAAAAGGTAACGGGGGAAAAATTATCAGTTCAGGTCACATCTGATCATTAAGTGTCATCTTGCATGCTGTTTAGACAGCAACGCTTTAAAACAGTTACTGTCTAAATGACTTCCACATTTTAGCCTAATTAGTACAATAAAAACATTTTCAAAATCCAATTGGTTGGATTTTTCTCATTTTCATAAGAACTCTATGAATTCAAAAAAGGTTTATGCCGTATCAAAACGAGTGCTTTTTCAGTATCGTATGACAGGTCACCTTTCAATATAGTAGAACTGAACCAAAGCATCATTAATCTGGGTTTTATTTTAGACTTGGATAGCTTGTTTTCCTTATGAGAGGAACTTATTATTATTCATGATCAGAAATATTTAGGGGTGACAAAAAAAGACATGTAAGGGGTCATTTATTTTGTTTAGATGTCAAACAGAGATTTTCTATTGACCAACACGTCACGCTAAATGACTAATTCATAGCAGGACCAAACGTGTTGAGGCATTCCTAAATATAACAGCACCAAAATTAACAAAAAGTTGCCAAATAAAACAAAACAAAAAAAATGAGACGTACCTCTACGCCTACACTCGACAAATTCCAAAAGATGACGGATATGGTGGATTAGATATTAACTTGATATAAATCACTCAAATCCTGGCGAAAACTTTGCAACCGCAAACCAATAATGGGCTTTGTTTTGACACATGGCCCTGAAAAGTTGCAAAAAGACAATGTTTTTGAAGCTAGATCTGCTTACATTCCACAGGGAGAGGTGATGAGGTGATATTGTAAATGTGTCACAGTGTTTGACACCACAACACAACTCCAGACATGTTTAGTTTGACACTCAAACGAAACTGCTGGCAGAGCCACATCTGCGGACCTGCACTGTCATCAACACGGCTTTGCCTTGAGAAGCTGCCACGATCCTGTTTTAACTGTTCTTCTAAATTAATAACGCCATTAATTAAATATGAACTGATTTACATTGGTAACATTTGTCAGGGAAAAGACATGTGTCCCTTGTGTATCCATGATGCATGACAACAAAGGCAAACAAATGACTTATTTATCGTTTGGTTTGTATGACTTCTGTTTGAGCTACGTTCACATTTGCAACAGATAACTATTAATCTAGAGAATGAAAAAGCCTTGTACGACTTAAATCTTTTAGCAGCTACATGTGCATTTTCTTCAGACACAAGAAGGCTTAATTAAATACAGAGTCTGAGGATATCGCACCCAAGAGAACACAGCAGTTAAATGATCAGACATGATGTTTCCTGTGTTAAACAATTACAAGTTCGATGACAAAGTTTGTATCATTTCTTATTCCTCCTTCGATATTAAGCCAAAGCCGCAGCCGAACACCGTGTAAGCTGCATGTGAGTGTACTACTGGCAGTCAGCTGAGTCACTGCCTCGGCTCAAAACTGTGTCTGCAGGCGCTCAGCAGTGACAGGTTGAAACAATAACTGCGCTCTGATTGCTCACTGGAGCTTGGAGTGAGTCACGGCTGGAGGAGACAGCGTTGTCCCACCAGAGCGTGCAAGGTAGAATGTTACTAACGTGTTGCTCATTAAACGTGTTGCATAAATCACAGACAGTTTGCTTATGTTGGCGCTTTAGGAGAAACGCCAAACTCCAATCAAAGGAAGCGTCTCTTCCCAAGCATCAATCTGTTCCAGCTTTAAATTATAAAACAAGTACAACATTTTCAGCCCAACGGTGACAATTAAATATGGAAGAGCAGAAACGGGTAGAGAGACACAAATAAGAAAGGAGGTGGGGGGAAATTTTTTTTTTTTTTAAAAAGTCTTACCTGTCCACAGCCGGGAGCGTTACACACAAAAGGTCTGTCGTCCCCCATTTTTGCAAAGAGCTTGCAATGAAACTGTGAGAGAGAAGAAGAGAACATTGCAGCGAGCTTTTATGGATCTCAGAGCTGGCAAATCCCGAAAACAACAAAACGGGGATGCTGCGGCTTGTAGACTTCAGTCTGAGCAGGAAGCCGAACGCTATTCAAAAATAATCCTGGCACGGAGGAAAACATGCACAGAGGCAGCGAGGAGAAGTTTCCCTGGTGATATTTCCTTCACGCACAGGGGCTTGTGGCTGGCCAATGAGGAGCTGCTTACAGTCAGGAGCGACAGCCGGCGTTTACACAAACACAGCTCCCTCCCCTGCTACCTTTTGCTCAACCTCGCCTAAGTTCACTTCCAAGCCCTTGTTCTCTCATGACCACTCCCTCCGTTTACCTCTCCAGCACCGTCGAACCAGGATTCAGCATCTCCTGCTCCAACTCAGCCGTCTGTCTTAGGCTGTTAGTTTTTAAAAACTTACTTATGAATTTATAGCAAAAGTGTATAAGCTTAGAGAGAGTAGGAACACTCTCACGGATTAAATTGTTACCGATTGTATTTGCTCTCAGTCGTTTTTGCTAAAAGACAATAATGGAAAAACTCACACAATAGATTCCTCTTTTTTTATGTTACTTGACATGTTGAAGTAGCACGAGACAAATATTAGTTATTTGCTTAATATTGTTGTATAGAGGTATGTAAAGTATGTAGTAAAAGCAAGACTGCTCCAATTAATTCTCATTTTTCCCTGATTACCAGGTCACAAATAATAAAACAAAAAAATGTGATTTTCTTTTTCTCCCCATTGATTAAACACAGAAAACTCTCACATGTGTTGCTCTATAAAACAACACAAATCAGCAGCTGCAGTATGCAACTTTTATAATATGTTGTTTTTTTGCACTATTTAGTTATAATTGGAAGAAAAAGGCACAATAATGTTTAGGTTTTGCACAAACTTATTTCAAGGTTGCACAACATTTAACAATTACTACCCGTTTTTACATTTTTTGTAAAACAATCAAAATTAGAAGATAATCTGAACATTTATGAATTGAAATCAGTAATTATGCACCTCAGATTCAACTCCATCTTGTTTCTATGTTATATTGTTATTAAAATACAAAAGTGCATTTTGACATTTATTCTGGATATCAAGTCTGTGCAACCTTTGTTTTAGCTTTATGAAAATATTAGTCAAGTCAAGTATAACCAAGACCTTTACTTTCCTCCAGCTGAAAAAAAAAGCTTAACAAAACAATGCTTTAATGCTGGTAATGTAAAATTTGTTCAGATTTAGTGATTGAATCAAATGCACTAAATAAAAATAAATTGCACATTGAATAAAATAAAATAAAATTTCCAAATGACATTATTTTAAAGCTAGAATTATTTCGAGGTCATTGTGTATAAACTCATTTCAGGATATCCTACTATCACATCCTAAATCATTTGTAAACACTGCAAAAATTGGCATATAAGTGGATGCTTGAATCCGCAGGAAACACCACAACTTTCCACAGCTCTCAAAATAATCACTTCATCCTGCTCCTTCTGAGTGGATGCTCTTGTAAAGAGTTAAATATGCACAAGCTCCCGTTTGGTTTCTCCTCTTGTAATGCCAAGCTAAAACTGAGCGCGGCCGGCTGCTACTTCTATCAGCAACTCCACCCTGTGCCGCCCTGCACAGCTGGACAAAACTCCTCGTGAAGAGAAACTGGAAAAGTTAAGTGAAAAAAACATTCGAGATAAATCAGGGGGAATACGGGAGGGGAGAGGGCCGGCGGCAGACATGAATGTTTCAGCATTCTCAGCTGGCACAAAGTGACGTCTGGCTGCTATTATGCAATCCCGTCCCACTGACAAAGCAGCTGCCACCAATATATAGTATGGTTTTATGTATTAAACCACAGGCAAAACAGTCAGAATATGTACAAACCACAAGTTTGTAATACAGATGCAAATATCCCTGGTAAGTTTAAACCTAAATGATCTCGGCTAAGCCGGGCCTCTTCTCCGGGTTTCTGTTTTAATCCGACACCCAAATAGTTGAAAAGGGAAGAATATTGAATCAAATTTCATTCCTTTAATATCACCGAGGCACTGACCACATAAACTCTTGTTGTACCTAATATATGGGTTAACCGCGTTGCCAAACGTTCTTGCATGGGACATATTATTCATTACTTTGGCCAGGAATAAATGTCTGAAAGTTTTCCCAGTGTTGAAGTCAGTAAATTTTCCTCCTCCTTCCCCCCGCCATCTCTCGCTCTGCTGAGGACAGCTGCCCTTGAGCCAACACATGATTACTGAAGCCTTGTGCTGGAAGACGTGCGCCGAACATGCAACGGGCCTTTTCTTCTCAAGAGGCAAAAATAAGCTGCATTACATTTGCAAGCACCAGCTGTTCCTCTGTGGACAAAAAGACAGAAGACTCTGGTTTGCTGCAGGACGAACAGAGGCAACAGGTCGGTGAAGGGGGGCCTCGCAAACTGCCTCCAATTTACCGAGTCTATTTGTGCAGGGATTCGTCTGCAAACGAGATACTCCATCGAGCTCGTTATACCGAGGGTGTGGACTGAGTGGAGAACCAGACACATCTGGCGTCAGGAGTGGGAACAGATTTTTAGAGTTTACATCTTACTAAAGACATGCTAGACATTAACTTGGCTGACTGGCACCAGAGCTAAAACGTGGGATTTGATTTTGTGGAAAGTCCTTCATAAATCGCAAATGACAAAAGCGGAAAATACCGTTTGTTGTGGGAGCTGCCTTGATGAAAATTTAGGCCCGATTAAAGCACTTTTTCAGTGCAACGCTGCAATTTGAAATTATTTATTTATTTTTTTTATTAAGTCAGAGCCCTAAAAACTGACGCAATATATGTGCCTCTGCGTAATTCCTGTGCATACAACAATAAATGCTGCAGTAAATGCGTCTTTCCTCGCTGAGGAAACTCTGGAAGTAATCTTAAGACAATCAATCACTCTCCTAGTTACTGCGGTGCCGATGCACGTCGTCGATATTCATTACACTCCACCTGTTTTTGCCTCCTTTCAGCCAAGGTGACATGGAAGCACTCGAAGGGCCCGGATTCCTCTCCTTCTCATTGAGCCACTGCCATCACCCCCCGCCACCTTCCTCCCCAACAACCCCACACAACTTTGGGTTTCTCCAACTCAGCAGGTGTAGGGGAACAAGTCTCAGCTATAATCAGCCACAGCCAGGCAGTGTTTGACGCTGCCTGCTAGGAAACTGACTAAACAAACTGTATTAATAGCTCCTGCTGCAGCCATGACGCGAGACTCTGAAGCTTAAACTGCTAGAGGACAGGGGAGACCCCACCAAGCAAATAAGGAGGTAAAGAAAGACAGAAGGGAAAACAGAAATAAGTTGCAAAGCTTGGCAGAAGTAGTCGTACCTGGCAAACTTTTTCACATTACAACCACAAACTTCGTCCGTTTTATTGAGTTTAACGTTGTGTACTCTTATGCGCTTCATAAAAGTAGAACATGGTTGTGAAGTGGAAGGAAAACTACACATGGGTTTTTAACAAAAATCTGAAAAGTGTGGCATAGCACCTGAACACAATTCAGTAAATGGAGTCCATCTGTGTGTAATTCAATTTAAATATACATTTCTGGAGCAGTGTTAGGATACACAAATACATTTCTCAACCTTTGAGCATCTCAATCCATCATCATCATGACACAGCAAACATGGTTGAGGAATGAAGAGCTCAAAATGTCCTAATTTTCAAACTTTGCAAATTTCCAGAATGTATTCATTTTGTCTGAGAGCCTGAGCTGTTTTACATAGAAAATGGGCAAAAAAATAAAAAAATAAATCAGTTTATGTATGCAGAGCAGGAGGAGACAATCCTAAATCCCTGCAGCTGTAATTGCAGCTTAAGGCGGTTCCACAAACACCTGGACATATATGTACACCACACTTTTCAGATTTGTTTTTGTTTTTTCCTGAAACATTTTACAAAACAATATAATTTCCTTGCATTTCACAATCACTTAGTGTTGATCTATCACATAATACTCAAATAACACTGAAGTCTGTGGCCTTAATGTGACAAAATTTGAAAAATGTAAAATGGGTAAAAATACTTTTACAAGGCATTTTAAGTACAGCAACATGGATTTGTATCAGATCACAGATGATACTAGAGATCTGGATGGTGGTTGGCTGAGTGCAGCAGCCAGTATTTATTTATGTCAGCAATGGGAACACAAGATTTAGTAAATGGAACAAACGTAACCTTAAACCCATATCTTCATGGCTAAGAAAAATTGAAATCTATGCCAAGCCCTCGGGACAGTGCAAAATAAAGGCATGGTAATATTTTAAAACAGAAGCAGCGACAATTAAACTTTGCTGTTATTGTTGTGCAATTTTATGTCTAATGATTTTTTTTTTTATTAAAATTATGCATTGCATTTATAAATTTTTTTTAGCTTTCTGGTCTGTACTTGGATGTGGGTAGTAACTTGTTAAAACTAATAAGTAAAAAAAAAAAAAAAAAAAAAAAACTTTTAGGGCTGCTTTTCCTGCAGTGCACTTTTTACTTTTACTTGAGTAAAACCTCTGGCTACTCTCTGTGAGTATCTTCACTGAATGAAGAGTGAACACCTTTTAACCAAAAATGTTCCAGAACCAGACACAAGCCTACAGTTTAAATGCTAAAGTGATTGAGTTTGTACACAAGCGTTGCTGCGCAAATGATATGTATGCAGTGCCTGGTCTTTTATGTATGCTAATTGCTGTAGATATTAGCTTCATCAATTTTATGCAGAAAAAAATTTTGGTAAAGTGCTTGAATTTGTTTTTTGTAATCGTTTAGTTTTTGTTAAACTTTAAATTTCTGTCTTGCAACATAATTTTTAAATAAATTAGATGTTCTGATCAGATCATCAGTATTTAACCTTCTTTAAAAAAAAACACTTTTTTTGCATGGCTGCATTTTACTTTTACTTAAAATATTGTTACTCTACTTTTGATTGCAGTTTTCGGGTACTCTACCCACATCTCCACTCTATATTCTTGGACTTTCCTTCTTTGTTGCACAAAGCTTAAAATGCATGCTTTTTTTCTGAGAGTGAGTCAAATTTTGCGAAGTTTAAGAAACTGCGGGGTTTTTTCCCTCAGTGCAACACCTTTAAGTGATGGAATGAGGTACAACTGTGCCAAAAACATGACCTACATTCCTAGCTGAGGTGTTGACATGCGTGGGGACACGGATCGTCGGGCGTCCGACAGTTCAAATTGCATTGCTGTGGATGTCACTGCATCCTGAGACGTTCAGTTCTTTTGAGGTTCCTCTTGCAGACGCAAATTGCTGTCAGAATTACAATTCACGGATAGTGCGATATTTTTATGCTGAGATCCGGGCTTGCAAAAGTCGAAAAGGTCAAGATGAATTCCAAAGGACCCACTCAAACTTTAGTTCCCTCTTCCAGACAGCGCTGACTCTCTTAAAAAATGTTTCTCTCTTTTAGCCTCCATTACCTTCTTGGCTCACCGCTTTAGCCCCGCCTTTTCCCGTAACCAAACCGCCTATTCTGTACAGCAATTGGTCACCAGCGTGTCAGTCATACGCATCTCATTCGCACATTGCTTTCGGAGCCTGTCAATAACAACGACGAGCCAAGTCTTATTGGTCCAAAGCTTCGTATCAACTTTTTTGTGCGCTCGCAAAAAAGAAGCCTAATGGCTAGCTGCTGTGGCTAGCGTCGCCAACAGGCCGAGCGCACATTGAAAATGAGTGATAACAACGATACTAACATTTTCCGTTCTGACAACAAACACACACCAACACAAACGTAACTACGCCAAAAGTCAAACTGTGCATTTTAAAAAGGCATTAAAGAGGATGAACCCCCCGCCCCCGAGTAGCAGTTAGTTGGTTAGCGGAATGACACTTGAGTGCAAAGCAGCGAGACTGTTGGTCCGAATGAGACGCTGAAGCTGCGACTAACAGTTCTGACAGTTACATAAACATGAACACATGTCCACAACAAGCACCGAAATGAGTCGGAGCGACAGAAAGTGTGTCACATGTAAGAGAAGTATACATAACTTTAATGAATTTAAAAGTTTGAAGTGTTTATAAACTCACCCTGGCGCCCCTCTCTCTCTCTCTGATTCCCCTCTCCTCTCCTCTCTCTTGGAATTTGACACTCCCCTCGACAGAAAGTTATCGCGAGAATTCATGCGAGTGGTAATCACGCATTCAGAAAATGCTGCCTGATAAGCTTGCTTTTATCCGACAAGAGACTTTCTAGAGACATAGCAAAAATGTTATTTGGCTAAAATACCCTTTTGTCATTTTTTTATTTGCCTTTCTATTATTTCTGATATTCTTCTATCTTATGATACTATATTGATATTTTCTCACACCTTGCTGTTCAAATATTAACTGTTTAGTTTGCATCGAGGAGTGTCTACATTCACAATTCAAGGGTAAAATCCCAAGCTCAGAGTCTTCGTTTGAATGTCGTATTTAAAAAATAACAACCTGTAGGCCTAATTCAAAAACTCACTTTTCCTAGAATAAATAAATAAATAAAAATACAAACCATGTACGTTCCCTAAATTAATATTTTCCTTCCAGGAACTTCACCAAAACATACTTTCCCTGGAGTTTGCAAGGTACCTTAATGTGGAACTCAATTTATATTGAAGGTCTGGGGGGATTATGTCCCATTTTATAGCACAATCAAGTAACTATGTTACCTTCAGTCGTTATAATACTTTATATATCAAACATAACTTAAAATAAATTTGACTTTATGGCATAAAATTTTTCAATTTTACATAATATCTCTTCTTTAATTATTTTTTTTCTTTCTGGAACTTAATAGTTGCTTTCCAGAAAACAGTATATAACTTTAAAAATAATTAGGAAGATTGCGTGAAAAGGAAGCAATATTTGGAGATCAGATCAGGTTAATTAAAGTGGATGCTTCAACAAAAACACAATGCTAAATGTAGATGATGCAATCCACAGTCAATGTTATCTCTACCACTCCAGTACTTATGAGATTGAGTATTCATTCATAGGGTTTGTTACCGTCACTGGAGCTAGAAACAAAGCTAGAGCGACCCCTAGTGGATCGGGTTTTGACCACATTCAGTACAGCTTTGGTCTTCAATAATCTTTTTGTCAGCGTTTTTTTTTTTGTAGATTATTTTTTCTTAAATTGCTTTAAGAAAAATATGTTTACTGACAAAGATGTAGATTAAATTTATGCGCAAATACATTGTCGTTCTTATCTTAGGGATTTGCTGCAGAGCGTGGAAGATCCAAGAGTCAGAGTTTAAGTTAGCAGTGAAGCTGGTGCGGCGCAATGTGGGAGCTGTAAACGTGAGCTGGCAGAAATAAATCCCAATCAGAATTAAATTGTTTGCGTTTAAAAATAGCAAAGAGAAAAAGGCAGACAGGTAAACAAAAAGGCATTTACTTGCATTATACTGACAAAGAAAAGAAGCACCTTTGCAGGCATACACGAGAAATAATCATATGGTTAATTTATATGTATATTTACAGAACAGGCAGACAAAAATAAGTTTAAGGAATGGTCAGATTCCAGACCTCCAACACATTTTTTTGCCAGCTCATTGAGTGGCTTTACAAAAGACAAAACTAACTCATCATGCCATTTCATGGTTTTAACATTTAAATATTGAATTTAAAACAAAGTGACTCTAGTTTTGGAACCCGTGAGCACCCTTGAAAAAAGTTTTGCAAATTTAAACCTCCATTGTAGGAACAAAAAACAAACAAAACAAAACAACAACAACAAAAAAACACTCAATAAAGCCCAAATAAACAGAGAGTCAAACATGACAGCAGGCGTGGTGACACCACTTTTGTTAGCGTTGGACATATTCAGAAGTCTACCTGGCACATTTAAGTGAAACCAACACTAATAATCAGCATCACTCTGCTGCTACAACATAAATGCAATTGTTCCCATCTGGTACAATCTTTCCTGCTCCAAAATAGGTGTGTGTGTTTAATGCTATTTTCTTAGTGAATATCACTGACCGATCACAACCAAAACTTATCATACAAATTATTTCAACACAGTGCCTTGCAAAAAAAGTTCAACGGCTTTCAACTTTTCCACATTTCAACACGTTATAACCACAAGTTTCAGTGTATTTTAGTGGGAGTTTATGTGGCAGACCAACACAAAGTAGAGGATAATTGTGAAGTGGATGGTAAGTTATTAATGTTTAAGTGCGTGAGCATCGGAGGGAAGTTAAGCGAAGTAAAACATTTTCTCTGCCATCAGAGCTTCAAAGATATTCAAGAAAAACACATAAATGTCACAGCAAAACAAAAGGGCTGTCATTTTTTTTCTCTCCTTTTACACCTTCATATTTTCAGCACAAACCAAATTTCTTTGCGTGCAAACATTACACATCATTTCTAACCGATTTTGGTAAGGTTGAAGTGGTGTGGTTGGCCTCTGCTGAACCAACCTCAAACTGTTATTAAAATCCTTAAAGTGATAGCGACACAAACAAAGAACCTGCATTAATCAAACTCAAAATGTCTGACACTATTTTGTTTAGATTTGAAGAGGTTCACCTTCCAGCAGGAAAATAACCTTAATATTATGAGCAAACAATACTCATGTGTTAAATGGGCTAGTCAAAGTTCAGACCTACATCCAACTGAGAATTTCAGGCAAGACATTAAACACAGATGTCCAGAGAAGCTCTCCGTGTAATCTGAATGAGTTTGACCTATACTGTAAAGAAGACGGTCGCTACTTTGAAGAATCAATTATTGTCTCACCATAAATATAATTTATTTTTTAAAAATCTATGCAAACATAAAAAGAATACATTGAAATTCTGTGGCTGTCGTGTGGTAAAATGTGGAGAAGTTAAAGGGTTATGGTTACTCTTCCCAGGTATTTTACATAAAGCATCTCATAAAAATGACTGGAAAACCTTCATAATTACGACATCATTCATCAACTGGGTTGTTGTTTTTTTTTTTTTTTTTTTATTCCACCATGCTGAAAGCATGTCACTGTACGTTTATTATCATTTTTTTAAACAAAGCCGTCTTCTGAGTTCGACACAGTTTCATTTACAAAGCCAATCAAGCAAAAATGAGTAATAATAAGCATTCTAAAATATTCTAATGAATAGCTTTTTGGAACATAGCTAAGTGATCAAAGGACTCGTTTGATCTTGGTTTATTCCCACGAGGAAGTCGAGCAAATCTGATGCTTTAGTTTGGCGGAGTGGGAGGGGGTTTTCTGTTTCTTTTTGCTACCAGACTTCAAAAGAAAAACCAACAGCTGTTTAGTTGAAAATGTGCAAGTCCTGCCTTGTTCATTCACATGACACTGATTAAACACAGCAGTCTGCACTTAAATCACTCCTCATCCGGATGTTGTGTAAATACAAGAAAAGAAAAAAAAGAAAAAGACATACATCTGTATCGACTTGCCAATAAATGCGGTATGACGAGCTGTTTAATCATCAGCCCATGAGGTCTGAGGATCCTCCGCCGCCGCCGTCATCAGTCTCTCAGTAGTAGATAGTCTTTAACCGTTTCCGGTAGGGGAAGCTCTTTCACGGCGGTGGGGAGGAACTGCACTCCGAGGCTCTGCCGTATGGTGCAGCGCGCCAGCGAGCGCAGCGTGGGCGCCTGAGCCACCATGTTGGACAGCCTCGCCAGCAGCTGGGGGTCTTTGCTCAGCTCCTTGGGGAGGGTGCCGTCAGCCCGCCGGATCTCGAAGCGCCCCGCCGCTCGGCAAAGCAGCTCCAAGCACTCTTCCTCCTGTTCCGTGCCCAGGCCTCGGGCCAGCAGGGCCACCAGCCGGGATATAGGGGTCTGACCCTTCAGGTTGGTCACATGGACCTGGGCGCCGTAGTCTAACAGAACCTTGACGCTCTCCAGATTGCCCTTCATCGCTGCCCAGCTCAGAGGCGTGTCATTGTTGTAGTCCCGGGCATTGGGGCAGGCCCCGCTCTCCAGCAGGGCCCTCACACACTCCGGGTTGTCCTTGAAGGCGGCCCAGTGGAGCGGCGTGTCCTTGTTGCCGTCCAGCGCGTTCGGCTGGGCGCCGTACTCCAGCAGCAGCTCCACGCAGCTCTCGTCCTTCTCCGCGGCGTAGTGCAGCGCCGTGCGGTTGTAACCATCCAGAGCATTCACCTGACGGAGCGCTCACACCAACAGGAACGCAAAAAAGTTTAGTTGTTGGAAAGACAGGATTCAGCCTTCTAGACCTTTACTGTACAAATAGCAGCTTATTTTCTGTCATGTGGACAGCAGAGATGACCCAACCAGTCACCAGGAAATTAGAATAAGCCAATATTTTCGTCATTGGCTCTAATCGGTGATCTGAAGGCCACAAGCTAAAAACAAAAAATCTAAATTTCTAGTTTTCGTTAAATTCATTGAAACTAAGAACTCTTACTGTTTTTGGTCAATAAGCCAATAGTGTGCATTTCATCTACTTAAAATCAAAACATTAAGACAATTTTAAAACACATGTCCTTTTATACATAGTGTTAAACTTTATAATACAATTCTTTTGGACTCCAAATACTTTCTTCTTTAGGTGTTAAAGCTCTTGATGCAAATCAAAAATGAGAGAAGTAAACAAAGAAAAAACAGAATTGGCAGCTCAGATCTTAAATAAATTAGGATAGGGCTTATCAGTGTATCTTTAATACATCCTTATAAATACACAAAAACTAACTCCTGTGCTGCACGGACAGCAAAAAACAACAATTTAGTCCTACTCTGTAAATAATAAACTGAAGACGGCATAGACCTCAACTTTCTTTAACGGGTTTAGAGTTTTTACGTTTAAAGTATGACTCATTTCTGAGTCACTTTGTTAGAATAATGAACACATTTTCTCGTGCAAAGCTTTTGTTTTCAGTGCATGTCGCCTCTAGTTACGTTCCCGAAAAACCATTTGAAGTTTCGGTGACAAACTGTGGTGTGTCAGGAAGCAAGTAAACAAACTAGAAGCTTGTCGGTCCAAACAGATTAACCAACTTTGAACACGATCAAATGAAAACCTGCATGTGTTGTCATTGTTGCTGATAAAGTCATAGGAAGTGCACATCAGGCATGTTGTGGTTCGCATGTGTTGTCACTAAACCAATGACACATGTGCCACTCCAACTTACTAAATTGATCAATTTAAACCGCTATTTAAAACACATTTCCTTTCTCTGGCTTTTAACACTAGTTATGCAGGGCATCTGTGTGTTGGTTGTGCTTTAATTGATTATTTTTGCTCATTTTTTGTTGTTAAATTGTTCAATTTTTTATTATGTAAAGCAATTTGGTGAACTGCAGTTGGTTTTAGATGTACTACTTAAATACATTTGACTTGATTTACTTCTTCTCTGATGTTATAAGAGCAGTTCTGTCAAAATTGCGCCATTTCTGTTCCACAAATTTCGTCTAAACTACTTTTAACTCATCTCTACGCTTTTTGATTTTCTACACTGAAAAAACTCAATTTCCATATTGTTTTTAAAAAAGAAGAATTTTCTGTCAATAACTCAAAAACCAAAGCAGAAGAGAAATAAAAGGTCATATATTTTCTGATTTTTTTTTTTTTTTAATAATCTTTTAGTTGATTGAATAAAGTATGAAAACTGTTCTATCGCCAATTTTCTTTTATTTCCTTATCAGACTTGGAAAATGAGGAAAATCAAATTCCGTACTTTTCCCAGACATGTCAAGACTGCGCAGGAACCCGGAAACCTGGTAAAATATAACCATCACTTGTTTTCCAGGGCTACGACAAGCTCAAAAGCCACATCTTGTTGTACAGCACTGCTTCAGATCAACAAGCACAAACAGGCTCAGCTCTCTCTGAGTGATCTCTATCTGGAGACCTGAATATTCATCTAAAACGCGCGGAAATAAACCCACCTCTGCGCCTTTCTCCAACAGCAGCTCCACACAGTCGGCATCGGCTACCATACAGGCACAGTGAAGGGGTTTGAGGGTCCCATGCATCCGGTTTACATCAGCGCCCTAAGGAGGGTCGGACATAAAAATGTCAAAACAGCCAGGAGACTTTGTTTTGTTTTGTTTTTTTTTTTTTACTGATAAGCGACATACCTTACGAATCAGATCCTCCACGTTGTCGTGTGGAAATGAGCGGATGGCGGCGATGGTGCGGATGAGCCGTTCGGACAAGGAGTATTTACTCTGAATGCTCTGCATGATGTACCACATAGTAGAGCTCATGTGTAACAGAGGACCATGGCACCCAGGCAGGGGTGACACTTCGGCACACTGGAAGACAAATTTTAAAAATGTTAGGGTTACACACTGCTAAACATAATGAGGTCATGGAATACCTTAGTAATAATCGCTCAGGTTGTTCATATAAATGTCCTAACTGATCGCATTTAAGACGTCACCACTTAGAAGGATGAATGCTTTGCAGCTAACCTGAGGCAGTCATGCACTGGCGCCACCATGCCCTTTGACCTCCACCTGCAGGCAAATGTGAAGTTTCTTGCTCAAGGACATAACGGCAGAGAGAGCGGGGATTTGCACCGGTAGACTTTGTAAAACACTCTGATGCACATCACCTAAAATTTTCATTATTTTGTTTTACAGATTTATGCAACATTATGCCTTTAATCAATTAAATTAGATTTTTTTTTGTTGCTAATTTCCGATTTTTTCCGACATCTGAGAATATTCAAGCTTTTTCTTGTAAAAAAATGTAAAATTATAGTAAAAATTTCTGAAATTTTTGGCAGGTGTATTTTTTTAATATCACTCGATAGGTGTTTAGTTTATTTTCCCCTTTAACAATTTTATGTTTACGTTTTTTATTGACATTTATTTAACCATTATTTTACCAGAAAATCCCTCGAGATAAAATCTGTTTTTCGAGAGAGATCTGGCCAAAAGGCACAATAGTGTACATTGCAATTAAATCATCACAAAATTTACTTAAGTGTAAACTAAACAAAAATTAATAAATACAAGAATAGAGCATAAAATTAGAACTAGGTTATGTCAAATTTCGTGTCTCAAATGTCAGAAAATAGAGGTGTAAATTCGTTGAAAGACTCCATATTTGGTTATAGAAAAAAACCCAACTGTTATTTTAGTTTAATCTCTTTTTGAGTATCAAACGTCTGAGTAAGTATGTTGTTTCCAATGGCTGCTGCCCTTTCAGTAAACTTTAGCTGACAGTTAGAAAAATGACCCATATATACTGTAGCAACGCGGCACCGTACAAATACGTGGGAATAGCTGGTGATTTACATTAAAATAGTGGCACTCGACCTATACTTAATCAAAGTTTTAACGCTGAAACCTATGTAAGCAGGCGGAAGAAGCTGCTGAGGGTCTGCTTTGGAGAGAAGAAAAAAAAAAAAAGACAAAACAAAAATCCCGGCTAGCAACCAGCTAGCTAGCAGCAGCTAATGCTAGCTTGGAGATACGAAGAAAAAACATCCACAGCTAAATGTAGAAACACATGACACCTCCTCCAAATGCGTGGAAAAACGCTTCAAAACACACTTTGCATCAAACATCGTCAAAACGCCGATGCAGAATAACGTACCGTTTACAGCCCTCGATAGATCGAGCAAGTTGCCGTGTAGAGTCAGCTGGCTTCTGCTGCGGCTTGACATAAACACGGACCCGTCACGCAGCCACGCCTTCCGTCTCAAGCTGTCACAGCGAATGCTGGCAGATGTTTCCGTCTGGACCGCAGATATCGTTACATTTCTCTAAAGGGATCGGCATGTACCGGTGTTATTGGCTCCGATGGTATAGGCATGTATGGTGGCGTCCACCGACAGGAGCATGCCGCGGATACCTTCAGGTCAAGTGTAGAGGAGCAGCACCAGAGCCTTTCCTATTAACAGGTTATCAAAGAAATAACATACACACTTTACATTAATATTCCTAGAAAACTAAGATGAGAACAATATCTAAAAGAAACCGCGTTCATTTACACAGAGCCGGCCAAAAATTACAGAGGGCCTTGAGCAGAGGTCGACTTGGGCCCCCATTATTTATTCGATTACTTATGCAGACAAGCTTCTCTCATTTACTTAATGTCCAGGATACCATATTTAAAGTATGTACCAACAGTTTATAATT